TTAAGTCTTGGCATTTTGAAGGAAGTTTCAGGCTGTCAGTTTCCAACTGAAACAACACAATAACCTGTTTAGAGAGGTTTTGATATAAGAGCACTATTAGTTTTATTTCCGTAACTTGTCTATTTGGTTAGAATATATTATTAGTTCTTAACATAAACATCTGTGAAGGATATTTAGCTAACTTGGTCTCATTTTAGTTATCTGAGTATACTTTTAAACATTTAACTATTGCTCTTCATTTTGTGAAAACTAAACGTCAGTTTGGATTTGTATTATTGAAACAGATTTGTCTTTATTTTGTATTATTGAAACCGATTTGTCTTTATTTGCCCATTATTCATACAAATGACAGGAAGATGCTCAAGAACTACATTATTGATTTTTGGCACAGTGTCATTCTGCGTTAGCAACTGGAGTCAGAGGACTAACAGCTGAATGACTACCTTCAATCCAGGAAAATTAATTTGGCAAACCAACGGAAGGAGTGTGATAAAAATGATTTCACGCAAAATCAGTTCAATAAACTGCTGCCCTAATTAACACTAGCTTGATTTTTTGAACAACCTCCAACGCGGAGGTTCAGCATGACACCAGGAAAGTTATATAAAGGCTGAGCCTCTCTTTCTGTGAGTAGGCCGAGCTACAGCACAAGGCTTGATTGTTGTTTTTGTTTGTTTGGTCTTTTTTTTTGTTAAGATAGAGGTAAGTGACAGCTGTGACTAGAGGATAAAGTAATATTAGTAAAGTTCCTACTTCACGCGTGGATTCTGTGATGCATCTGAGAAGATGAGAATTGCCATTTTCCCACCAAAGGTTGTCTGGAACACAGCCCCATCCATCACAATCCTTTCAGGATAGGAGAGTATCATCTCCACACAGGTGAACTAAGGTCAGTGGGCTGTGGTTTCCGAAGGGGGTGTCAGACACCTGCAGTAACCGTGGCTTTTAACAGGGCTTGCAGGAAGCTCAGCACTCCTGTAAAGAAGCCCAGCAGACACCTCATAGAAGAGGCTCGGGGTGGACTCTCACTTGCTCACCACACACTGCTCCAGCCACCCCGCTGTGTTACTTGGCCACTTCCATATCATTTATAAGCTAATTCTCTGCTTCAGCGCAGCTTGGGCGTTTTTCCAAAGAAAGGGCTTTTCTCTTCTCCTCTCTCTGCTCCCCCCGCTGGCTTCCCCACCTTGGGGGCGAGAAAACTACAGCGGTGCTTCCAGCCCCCAATTACTGTTAGCAGGGGTTAAGTAATAGTCACTAACCTCTTCCATTCACAGAGGAGAACTGCGATCCTGCTTAATTCCCCTCCGCTCCCTGCAGCTCCTCCTTACACAACGCGCTGCAGCCGCAGCAGCACATCAATGCCCCGCTGCCCTGACACCGCTGCGGCAACACCCCCTGGGCCAGGAACCCAATAAGGGCGCTATAGGGGCGGGATATCGCCCTGCAGCAAGCAGCTGCGGCACCACAGAGGCTGCTGCAGGCAGGCGCTCAGCCCGGCAGATAAGGAGACAGCAGCACCTGGCCAGCGAGGGGCGTCCTCATCCCCCTGGGGACCTGCAGAAGCCCCTGGTTAAGCAGCCCGGGTTAAGACCCCGGTGAAGTCGCAGCCGAGCACCACCCAGAGCCCAGCACATCAGCCCTGTTGTTGCATCCGCAGGGTTTATGGTGCAGGCTGAGCCGTTGCTCAGGGAAATGGGGGTCTCGGCAGTGCCAAACCCCCCGATGGAAAAGCAACCGCGTCAGCCTGTACCTGGCTTCGCCCAAGCAGGCTGCACACAAGGAGTAGCTGCTGGGACAACCCAGGCATTACACAAGCTCTTACTCAGGGCTATTTGCCCTGCTTCCTGTAGAAATTGCTTCCAGGGCTGTGATGCACCATGCTTTAGCACCAGCTTTTCCTTGGAGAGATGCTTTTTACCTAGCTCTCACTGCCAGCCTCTCTACTACCCCCTCAACTTGTGCTGCTTATCTACCAGCAACAGGGCTTTCAGCTGCTTCGTTCGGGGCTTGGAAGATAAAAGTCTGGGAGGGTGCAGCTGTTTTCCTGGAGGCCAGTAGTTCCTGCAATAAACAGAATATCAAACACACAGCGTGAATTCCACAGCTCGTGCTACACCGTGCTGATGTTGGGCACTCAGACCATGACAGCACCTGAAACCATGTCAAATTCAGACTGCAGGTACAAAGCTTCTGTACTCACTTGCTTCAGATGTAAAGTAGAAATAACTCCAGAGAAATCTGTAACAATATCTTTTCCACCTAAATGTCTTCTATTCAACCTGTTCCCAGAAAACCTTAGGGCACACTATCTATAAGTGGTAATAGCATAAGTAGTCCATCTTTTCCTATAAGGCTTAAAAATTCAGTGCAGCTGTAGATCCTGTTAATTCTTTACTATAAAAATCTGCAGGATGGGATTGTAAGGTTATAGGATAAACTATTCTTTCCATCTTTTCTCACTCATTTATTCTGACCAGTTAACTTCCCTACCAGCAAGTAGTCAGGAAACCAGTTAGCCTCCTTACAGCCACACTTGCTTTTCTATAGTCATGTTTTCTGAGCCACTTACAGAGCTATAACACAGGCGAGACCTCCATGGTCTAAAATAACTTAATCTGAACACAGGTTTTATACTGATGTAACTATGCTGGGTGTTTCAAAAATGTCACATGGTGTTTCAAAATTCTTTCCTCCCCCTGTCAAACACTTTGTAGTACCAGAGGCTAAAGCACGGATCTATGTAATCAGCAGCTCTAATTACAGTCATTACACAACTGCAATAAGGAGGAGCTCCAGAGTGTGACTAAAGAATTACATAGAAGACTAATGAGCAGGAAGTTTAAAGTGCAAGGCATGAATGAAGGTCAGCAACATGTGTTGTTTTGCCTATAGAAGGACTGGCAGGCCAGGATATATGGCATTTAAAAGGTATCCAACATGAGTTCAGCATATGGGACTGCTAATGAGTAGCATGTGACTGTATGCTTAGCAAAAAATAATGAATCAATTAGCACATGATAGGAAACCATAACAAATAGCAGAATGTATGAAATAATGCATATGGGACTGATTAGAGGCAGATGCATCTTCAGATTCAGAAAGAGTGGTATCAATTGTACAGCCATGTGTTCTACAGGATCCAGAACCTGTTTGATCTCATAATTAACCTTATACATATATATATATATATATATATATAAACCTCCACTTTTCAGATGGATCAGCTTCCAAAACAAGGGTGGGAGTGGCAACATGCAGCCAAACAGGACAGAACTGCCTCTTTCCAGCATGCTGTAAATTTAGGTTAGCGTAAACTTGTCGGACAACTATGCTTTTTGGCATCACTGCTTGCTGTTTGATCCCTGTGAACAGCCTCAAGCTTGGTCTGCCACAGGTTTGTGTATTTATGCAGGTGGCCAGATAACAAACCGAACACTTAACTCCAAACCTAGGCAAGATCAGAGTGCAGGGGAGTTTTTCCTTCAGAGAGGAATGAGACATGGACTCCAGAGCAGCCTTTTGTGGCTGTGAGATGAGCAGCCAGCACGGCAAGAGAAGCTGGGGTCCCTAGGATGGTGAATGTGGGCAGGGGGAAACACTGACTTTGGAAGCAACACCAAATAGTGCCTTGTCTTAAGCAGTCTGTTCCTCTACTGGTATGAAAATGGCAGAGAAAGTATCTGTAAATAATGAAGATCTTTCAATACAAATTAAACTTCAACAAAGTTGGATGGATATTGTACAGCTTTCATCATGGCAAACTGACAAGGAGAAGGCTTGCAGATGTACTTAGGTCTACTACATAAGCATAGCTGAGAACTGTAGACAAGCTTTTGGCATGAAAATCCTTCTTCAGGACTGAAATGTATAAAACAGATTCTTTTTTAGAGAGTAATTAGGTATGTTGGAGTCAGACCACCACTGAACATAAAGGTAACAGATTCCCACAAAGAATGGATGTCAGTAGAGAGGCACTAAAGGCTTGAGGAAAGAAAGAGGGTTAAAAAGCCTACAGCTTTGCAGACAAGTCTCCTAACAGGCCTTATTTGCACAAGCACAGGTTGATTTCCCACTAGTACGGGCTGCCACCCCCCTTCTAGTTGTCCTGTATTTCTCACTGGATTTTTTGTTACATTTGCACATTGCTTTGTTTTGCTGTTTGTCTTTTTTTGCCCCCCACTCTCACCTGCCACAGACACAGGAGTGTTACAAGTCCTAGCAAGTGCCAGATGCATTAACTCACTTTGCTACAACCTAGCAGTTTTTCACTTTTCAATTATTTTGTCAGGAACGCCTAAACACTGCACAACAAAATAATTGTCACTGCGATGATACAACTTGTCTGGTAAGCAGTTGAAGTCCTTGAAGGGAAAAAGCAGGTGTGTTTGTGAGAATTCAATAGCAGCTAGTATTCCACTAGTACAGCAAGCCAAAACATGTAAAAAAAAAAAAAAAGTTGAAAACTATTTGGATAAGAAAAAACAGCATTGAGAAGAGTGTTGAATTCAGCTCCTCAGTCAGGAAGAGCAATGCAACGTATTATCAAAGCATGTATGACACAGTGAGAAATAACAGGACAACACACTGAAATTACGGGTACAGTCACCATTTAATTTCAGATGAATCAAAGCTATTGTGAGCCAACACTCAGGATCCTGTAATCTAGCAATAAACACACTTTACAAATGCTAGAGCCTAAGTGCTGGTCTGTTACAGCCCCAGAAAGCCTGCTAAATAAACTGACAGGGGCATCAGCTTGTGGTACAATAACGAGGGATACATTTGGAATGAAAAGATAATAGTAATTAAATATATATCTCAGTTTATGGAATTTGATCAAATTAGATGCAAAGAATCAGTTGCAAAGATACAACTTATTCCTCTTTTCTGTCATCTGACAGAGAACATAAGCAAGGCTCCCCTCCAACCACAAGCCCCTCACCTCCACAGCCAAGGTCAGGGTAGCGGGACACCCGCCGCTCCCTCCCAAAAGGGCACAGTCCCAGGAAACCCCCAATCCTGCCCCAAAGAAGAGAGAAGGACCCCCAAATCCAACCCCTTGTTTAAACACAGCGGCGGCCACAGTTTCGCCTCCCCCCCCAGCTCCTCAGCCGCCCGCAGCGCCCCCTGGCAGCGCCGCAGCAATGGCGGCCCCCACGGCCCAGGCGTGAGCCCGCCCGCCCGCCGCTGCCGTGAGTCAGGCACCGCCGTGATGGCGGCCGGGGGAGGGGGCACAAAATGGCGGCGGGGAGGGACCCCAGGCTCTGTGTGTGTGGGGGGGGGGGAATGGCGGATAAAGCACTTTGTGAGGGTGGTGGGGGTGAGAGCGGGGTGGCACCCCGGGGGGGAGCAGTGCAGGAGGTGGGTGCATGCCTGGTGAGCGAGGAGTCTGGGACACGTAAGGGGAGGAACGACTGCAGTAATATACACAGTGCAATTAGCAGGGCAGTGCTAATGGTGATTATATTTTAAGTACATATTGCCTGGTTTTAGATGCGAGGCAAATTCATCTAGGGATCTACAACCAAAACCAATGAAAAACAATTCAGGTTGCTGTGAAGGCGACTCAGGGGCAGGTGTCCCCTAACAGTAGCTTCACCCACTTAAAGAACCTTTTCCAGGGACACCAGTGTGCACCGCCAGCTCCAGGGCAGGTGGTTTGGGGTGCAGGAGGCAGCGGCCCCACTGCTGCCCCGTGGGACCAGCACTTAGTCCCTGCGATGTTAAAACAGGCATGGACCCACAGTACCGTGTGCTGCAGGAAAGCTAATGGCAGAAGCACAGCTAGAAGAAATTTGAAGAATTAAAGCAGACAAAGCAGATCATTTACTGTGTCATCCACCCACAAAGAAAACTACAGTCCAATTTGCCTTTCCATTCTACTACAACTTTTGAATGAGTTGTCCTGAGCATATTTTAATGTTCTTATAACACCATGAAGAAAACGAATTGCTATCTTTCCTTAAAAATCAAAGCCTTCCAGTTTAAGATTGATCATCCCTAAATGAGACAAGGTCTGTCTGTCAGTGTGCTCGCCCCCATCCCTTTTTATTGAAGCTAGCTCCTCCTGTGCCTCCCTGCCCGGTTGGTTTAAAGTTATTCACTTCCTGCTGATTTACGTGAAGCACAAGAAGAGAGCACGTAGCATAGGGCACAAAAGTTGGCTGGATTGCTTCTTTTAGTGCCGTTTTTTGATAAACCGAAGCACTGACACACGAAAGAGTGAGCCTGCCCCCTTAGGCCACTTTCCATTCACAACCTGGAGCAATAGCAGGCTGCGACAGCAAGATGGCCCTGTTCCACTGCCCCAGCCGCACATCGTGCTGTACGTCTTGTATCGGGTTTGGCCATCCGCTGGCTTCTTAGAAGTTGGTTTTCCAGTGTATCACAGCTTTCCGGGCATGGCATACCCTGCAGATGCCCACTCTTGCACCCCTTTCAGCAGAGGGTTACAGCTGCACCTCGATGCAGCATTAATATACACTGTCTGTTTTGACACGCTTCAATTGAAATGTGAGCAGTAAACTAGTTACATTGCCTGCAGTAGCCCACGTTAAATGCTCTTAAATGTGACTGGGGTGTGGTAGAAAAAGATGCATGCATGTTGACGAGAGATAAAATACTGTCCTTTCGGCAGTGTAGTGCTTAGAGATCACTTTGTCTCGGTTAAAACTTGAAAAGAATTACTGGCTTTCACTATCTTAACTTTTCTTCGCATTTACTTTGTGTGTTCAATGGCATTTGGCTGGTTTGGGATATTTCAGCAACTCAAATTATTGTTATCTTAACCAAACAATGCAGCAGTTCAAGTTGTTGCATTTGTTCCCCTAAGGAAGAAAGGGATTGCATTGAGGGAGTAGGGCAGGAAGTGAAGAGGTTAGTCAAAACTTAGCGTCTTTGTTACATGAGCTTTAATTTGGACTTCTGTAAATTGAATGAAAAAACATGGAGAATAGAGATAAGGAGCTTTCAGGATTAGAAAAATAAAACCCAAACCCTTCATTACTATGTTACAGCTTTTTCTAAGTAGTACTTTGCTTTAGCAGTTCTGAAGTTAATGAAGTGTGCATGGATTATTGCTGCCTGTATTTTACTTCAAAGCTGGTTATTCCCTAGAAGTCAGAGGCTTTGCATGTCTGTTGATATAGAAAAGTGGCTGAGAAAGTACTAATACAAAACTTCTGGGTTTTGACATAATGCCAGAGGAGGAAAAAAAAAAAAAAAAAAAAAAAAAAAAAGCAAGATACATGCTTAACTTTGCAGATCTGACCACAGCATAAGATGAAGCAAGAGGAAGAGTTGATGCTGGGTTGTTTTTGCTACAGTTAAGGTATCTTTTACTGTTGCTGCTTACACAAAGGGAGAGGCACCCACATGCCCTCCTCAACAATGTGACTGTTCCTGCACTTGGCCTTTTGTATAGGCCTGGCACAGTCTAGCAGGCACAGGTGAATGTGACTGATCTGGTGTTCACCAGAGCTCCACTCAAGCATTATTTCACAACAGGTTCTCTTATTTTCTCAGGCTACCTTACCTAGGAAGTCAGCAGGACAGCCTTTAGAGCAGCTCTGAGAATCATTTGGTGGCAGCCCTACTTGTGGTTGTTCTGAGAACTGTAACTGATCTTAAGATACTGATCTGAAGGACGCCTGCTTTGCACTGAGACACCTCGCCGCTTGTCCAACTCTCAGCTGCGGAAGTGCCACAAAAGCTGAAGTCAACAACTGATGTGCATGAACACAATATGCATACATATTCAAGCTGGGGGAAGAGCAAAGAGAGGAAGAAAGGAACTTAGATGGGTTCTTCCATTTGTCTGTAGAGCTGTTAGCGACTCCGTCTAGAATTTAGAGCTGTGATTTTGCATAGCTGGGGAGGTTGCAGAGAAAAAACCTGTATTGTTTCTCAGTTTCTGTAAGCAAGCAGCAGTTACAGGACCATAAAGCTAATGTGGGATGTAACCTCTTGAAGATATGGTCTTAGATTTGTCTGCTCAGCATATCATAAGGATTATAAATGGTTTGAGAGTATGCTTCTGGAAAACTACCTGATACACAAGAGAACTTGAGATTTTACAAACAGTTATCAGTTCAGCGTTACATCTTAGTCTTTTTCCTCTTGTAAAATACTTGAAAAAGACATCAACTACTTGCTTTTAAGCATATTCCAGAAATGCTTTCTGATATTAGAGCATCTACAGTTAGACAATAGATTACTTTTATGTATTGGGGAAGATAGGGATGTTTTTCATTAAAAACAGCACAGCAGTAACAACAAATATATCTAAACCCTTGTCACCTCCAGGGAGGGCAAGGTAATTTGCTTTTCTTTGTATTTACATATTTTCATTAAATCATTGTACAGCATACCAAAAGCTAAAACTACATAGTCCTTGTTTCTGGAAATGCCTCAATACTTTGCATATGCTCTGCATATAGCAGATAATTTGGTGGGTTTTTCCCCCCTTCCCCACTATTTTCACTCAACCCCCCCAGAGAAGTTGTTCTTGGGCTTAATCACTACAATATACATAGTAAGGCTAATTATGCTTTAGCTAAAAATGTTTTCTGCTATCTTGTTATAGGGCACCTCACAGATCAAACTAGAGACACACAAATAGTGAATGTTTTTGTTTTTCACATATTTAGCTGTATCTACAATGCTGTTCTTCAAAGCAAGCTTCTCCCACTATTAACTAACAGATAGAAATCTTCCATGTCCTGAGTGCCATGCTCCAGATGCAGATTAACATCGTTAATGCCAGCAGCAGTCTCCTACTCTGTCTGGCAGGTGTTGATCTACATTTTAGACCTAGTGTAGGTGCTCATTTTGATGATGCTAAATGAGCTAGAACCAGGAATGTTGTCTTGAAGCAATATTTGTGTCCAGCACTTTGGCTTGACCTCGAAGTTTTCAGATAGACCACCAGAAGCTGCACCTCAGGAGCATGTGTGCCCCCATGCCCACCCACTCATGGGTGGGAGAGCTCACAAGAGTGATTCCAAACTGACCACACATGACCTATATTGTGGGATACAGTGACCTATATAGAGCCCTTAGCATGAGATATTCTGATTTACAAACCTGTACTATTTCCTGAGGTATAATTACTGCTGGCTGTATCTAAGAGATCAGTCTAGTGTTAAGCTAATTAGGAACTGATCTATTTGAACTCTCCCTGAAGGAAGGCCCATAGGGAACAGGAACACCCATTGGGATGTTTGATCCACGAGAACTCTGACATTTCCAAACATCTTTAGGACAAGAGGGACTAGCCTGAAGTTGTGCCAGGGGAGGGTCAGGTTGGAAATGAGGAGACATTTCTTCTCAGAAGGAGCAGTCAGGCATTGGGACGGGTTGCCCAGGGAGGTGGTAGAGTCACCATCCCTGGGGATGTTCAAGAAAAGGTTGGACGTGGTGCTTGGGGACATGGTTTAGTGGGTGACATTGGTGGTAGGGGGTGGTTGCACCAGAGGATCTTGTAGGTCTTTTCAACCCTCATGTTTCCATAATCTTAGGTCAGTGTTTCCCAGTCTCAGCCCTCTGCAACTGTTTGTATGGTGTTGGTGAATGCCACAAATTGAAGGTGTAAACAAGGGTTGGTACACCAGGAGTTAGACTGCTTGAAAAGACAGGCTCATCTAAACAACACTGGGTTAAAAGTTACGTGAAAAATTATTCACCTGAGGGTGGGAAATGTATGTAGGGTATTTATGAGCTGGGAGAAGAGAAGATGGTCAGGAATGAAGAGACATTTGTTAAACAGTCTACTCACCCTGTATTTACAGGATTCCCTGTGGCAGGTTATAGGTGGAAGGAATGCAAGTCTTGTCAGAGAAAAACTGACAAGAAAACAAGGATTTGTGTCCTGTTTGTGGCATAGGAAAAACATGAAAGCATCATTAACATTAGAACCAGGCACAGAAATGTTGTAACTTAGATTAGAGCTGCAAGGATTGACTCTGGAAAACATATATGAAAAGCATGGTAGGTAGAGCAATGAGGCTCTATCAGATGTGCTTAGAGGCACTTCAGCTCCTCTCCGTATAGATATTGGTGGGTTTTTTTATTTGTTGGTTTTGACAGAGATTGCTACTAGACTGCTTTTTAAACCTACCAGGGAGGGAGAGTATAAACCAGTACAAGAAAGCTTGTCTGAGTCTCCTTCTCTGGAGATATTCAAGGCCTGTCTGGACACCTACCTGGGCAGCCTGCTCTGAGGAACCTGCTTTGGTGGGGGGTTGGACCCAATGATCTTTCAAGGTCCCTTCCAACCCCTACAGTTCTGTGATTCTGTGAAAGCTAGGGCTAGCCAGCTAAAAAAAATCAGGGATAATGTAGATGGACTCAGTGAGGAGAACAAGCCATGAAATATTTTTGTTAAGTCTTATGGGAGGAAAAGGTATTGTCTTAAAAATCCTCTATGTCTTGTTAGCTCAATGTGAATGGTATCACTAACTCTGACTCACATAAAACACATTTATCTCTTATGGCATTCTCCTCTGAATGAGCTCCCTGCAAAGCACAAGTAAGGGTCTTTGGAGGGACTTTCCCTCAAAGCAGTCTTGCCAAGCAGCAGACAATCATTTTTCCTCTATGCTACCTTCCCACCATTATCACCAGCCCTAGTAAAAGGTAGGCTGCAGAGAAACATTTGTCATGTTTGATGGGACACTTGCCCAGCAAGTATCTTATTAATGAGCATTCAGAGGAAAAAGACAGCTTATCTGTCTAAAGAAGTGCCGCGGCACTGTTTTCACACAACTCCAAATACCAGCCATTTAACTTGTAGTGAATTAAGAGCTTTAGGCTGGAGTCCTGCCGTGGCCCTTTACCATCATTCCACCCTGGAATTCAGAGGGCTGCAGCATGGTTTAGGTCAGATGCCAAACCAGCTTGAGTATTGAGTTCAGATGGAAGAATGATGTTGCTTATTCCAGTAGGACTGGAAAGCAACTGTCAGCACATATAGCTACAACATGAGCTGCTGTAAGAAGCTTGGGAAAGCCTTCTGTTAAATAGGAAGCAGAGAACTGCACACAAGTTATTAGAGCTGCAGTTATCTAAGTTTAATTCTGGCATCCTTGGGTTTTACAGAAGATGTGCATTAGTGGATACAGCTATACAAGTACACAGGGAGAAAACTAAATACCTACATGCTTCAGAGGCTATAGTATAGCTATAAGTCTTACCAATCTATCTTAACTATAAAGATGTAGCATATTAGCACAAACACATAGTGTATAATATTAAGAACTTTTTTTTTTATCATTACATTTGGTCTAGCCAACAGCACAGACACAGTGGTGCTTTAGAAGTGCTGGCTTGATGTAGTACATTTCTACATGTGGCAAAATTGGTGAAGCCTACAATTAGAGATTATTTACAATAGGTAGTACTTCTAGGATTCCCTATGCAGTATAGGAATACATAGAGATACTCAACAGAAGCCATAACACACCATTTGTATAAAAAACAAAACAAAAACAAAAAACAACACAGTTAACAGTTTACTAAGAGCCCCATATACAATAAATAACAAGCCTCATTCCTTAAAAAAAAAAAAAAAAAAAAAAAAAAAAAAAAAGTGTTTTATAACACATTCAGTCTCCTACCTAAGGGTGAAGATCCTAGGTTCTTTCAATTCCTCCTGCCTCTTACCTGCTACTATTTATAGCATTTCTCCTTCAAGCTTCCCAGGTGCAAGGCTTCCAGGTGGAAATTGTGCTCTTTAACTCTCCCTCCCTTACCCTGAAGTGGTGAGGTGTATGTCTGTCCTGCTAGGCATGAAGGAGTAATCCTGAAATACAAATATTCTGTATTTTGCTTTAAAAAAAAAAAAAAAAAAAGTTTTAATTTACATAGTCTCATTTTCCCCACTGTCAGGAATTAATTAGAAATTCCACAGGCTTTGGAATAAATGAACTGAAACTTATGGTCGTATATGGGTTACAGCCACTGTTACATATAGGGTGTTTTCTTCCCCCCTTCATTACAAAATATATGGTGATCTCCACCCTGCTTCCATTTAATTGAAGTTTTGCCACCAACCTATATAGGTAGCTCAGGTCCAAATTCATTAACAGAATGGAAAGATTTACTCTAAATGTGGGATGTAGTAGAAAGGTGATTTGGAGTTACTTTTGCATGGTAAGCATGCCCTAGCTTGATGAGGCTGTTTCTTGAACCTAAACTGTAAACAAACAGCCACACAAAGTTGCAAACCAGTGTATGGGATGCTGGATACATGTCTTAGAAATTGTGAGAGGAGCTAATCCTAAAATACAATCTTCACCTCACTGAAGTTGGTGAAAACATTTTCCATGTACTTGACTGGTGCCAGGATTTTATGCTAGGTACTTACTCTCTTACTTTACAGGAGTTAATGCACACTCTGAAAAGTGTTTCAGCACTCTTCCTCCTGAATTCTTCCTGTTCCTCTGTGATAAACTGCGTCTTAAAACACTTTCCTAAACCTTCTTCATATCCATGCCCCTTTTTAAATGAGAAACTCAGTAGATATCCCTTCAGCATTCTGCTTGAGCAACACCATTGGCATCACTTTCACACTGTTAGTCATAATACACACTGGTATGATGCCTTCAACGAGAATTTCAAAGCACTTAACAAATATTAATTAAGTATTGCATCTCTGTGAGGTACATAAGTAATTAATTTTATAAGCCAACGCCATATAAAGGAGAGAGAAGGGTGGATTCTCACAATAGTGCATAGCCTCTTACTCGTTTACAGTTATTTTCTTCACGGGTGTCTAGACTTGAAATAAGTTCCCAATGCAGGTTTTGTAGTGGCCCCAGCAACAGGAATATTTGTGAAGCTGAACTGCAGGACACCTCTCACATTGCCATTATGTGAAAGCATGTCGCTTCAACTCTGTAGTAAAATGGAGTTACGGTAAATCAAGGCACTAGAGAAGACAGGTGAAGAATTTAAGACTTGAGCTCTATCCCTGTCTTCAGTTCTTAATAACAGATGTTCCCAAACTTCTGTTGCCCCATGTTTGTTTTTCTACAGGTAGAGAAGAACTTTCTGGATGTTGCAGGCTTAGTTTTCCCATACATATTTACTCTTTCTGACTGGAAATCAAATGTAGGTAGATTTTGAGGACTTCATTAAAAATTCTGGGCTTACTGGATGTCTGGTAGGTGTAGGGAGCAGACATTTCTGAACTAGTTGCTGCATGCCTGGAGACCGTGGACATAAGGAGTGTGAGCATGCTCTGCAGTCACAGAACATGAAGCAGCCTAGCAGGAGCAGCTGTCTGTGCTGTGCTCTCTTCCCGTGCATAGTAAGTACGAAACTCTTCAGAAACAGCAGACTTGCTGTAAACATGTTGTGCAGCTACTAGGACTGTGCAGTCTGCCCCATACTTTCAGAAGGGAACTATGCAGTTATTTACATGTAGATTATACATCCGCTCGTTCCTGGGTGTGCTGCAGCTGCTGCATAGGCACTTGCTGTTTGCTGCCCATGAAATCCTCTGTAGGCACGGGGGATTCCTACCCCTAACGCTTGCCACCTTATATCCACACTCCTCCAAAACAACATTGATCAGGATTCATACTTATTCCACTTCTTCCTTTGATTTCCCTTTTCCCTCTAATGACAAGTACTTGCAGTAATGTAGTACTTCCACAAGACACCCTGAGACAATTTCACAGTTTGCTGCTGCCAAAAGAGAGAGGTGGCAGCCCCCAGTCCCCGTGGCCTTGGACATCCTGATGCTCCCATTGTGTAGGTTCTGGTGTGTTCTGGGTCTCTCCATTAGCCGTTTTGACTTATTAGCCTGGAAGAAGAAAAAAAAAACAGAAAGGTGGATATTTTTCTCTGGAATAGTGATGTAAATCAGCAAGCTAAATGACAAGTTTAAGTCGAAGGACCAGAGGAGTACCAAAGCTTCTTCAACTGCAGCCAGGAGGCTCAGAAAAAGACTGTGAGAGGGACTTGTCCTTGCACTTTTGCAACAGTGATGTGTTAGATCAGCTTAACTGCCTATGAAGCAGTATTTTCATTTATTTCTTTCGCAGAACAGAGTCACTACTGTGCCTCTTCTTTTCTTGCCCTTGTCACTTAAAGATTTGTCATTCAGTTCAGGGAAGTGTCATTCAAATCAGCGTGTGGATTCACAGTTTTCATGGCACCACAGTTTAAGAATCAGTTTTGGAAGTGTTATCAGGAATATTCTATGTCATGGTCTTACAGGAAATTGCATATCTTATGAAAACTGCTTTGAAATTAAACAGAATTTTGAGAAGCTTATGATAACTGCTACAGAGAGTGTCAAGTCCATGATATCTTCTTCCCAACACCCTGGAAAAGGTATAAATAAGGGGAAAAACAGTTATTTTTCAACTATATAACATCAAGACAGGTTTGAGGTAGAAGATCAGAAAATAAAATGTGATGAAATTCTGATTATTCCTTTTGTATTGTCTGAGAAATGATAGCAGACTTCAGCACATTAATAAAGCAGTTTAGACATCCGTCTGCCACAGCGCTGGAGCACAGAAGATCAAAAGAAGGTTCTCATCTGCTTGACACACACACCCAGTGTTCATTCATTAATGGCATACTTTTAGCGTAGGTTATAACTGTACACATCATACAACAAAGCAGTGCCACGAAGTTTCCCTGTCCATAGGGAACAGAGGGAGCAGGAAAAAAAAAAGAAAAAAAAAAAAAAGTCTGATTGATTAAAGCATTCTCAGCAGCTGAGAACATCATTAACTGACAGGGTTTGCTGTGAACTTTGAAAGGGTGGGAAGAATAACTGCACTCCACCATCTTTGTTTGACTGTATTGTTCAGTATGAATACCCCACTGATAAAGTAATTCTTGATAAAACACGTTCTAGTTCTCAGAAGTCGTGCAATCAAAGCATACACAGTGGGTGGGTGTTGCAGTATCAGTGTTCTGTAAAATAAGCTCGAATTAGCAGTTTCGGCCACCCATCTGTTTTGGTGATGGTCTAAGTATATGTATTTTAAACCAAATACGACCCATTTTAGGTTCTGAAGAGAAAAGAGAGACAAACCTTTCCTGAAAGAACAAAGAGCCAAAACACATTATGTTTGCCCAAATCCTCACTCCATAGGAGTCTCTCCAAAGAGTTCAACTGGAAAGCAGAAAGCATTTGCTTATTCTTTTTGTATTTATAGAAAATACATTTCCTCACCTCCAGTTTAGGCAAATCTCAGTTGTAATGAGGCTAACTGGGCAGAGTCCAGATTAAATTCGCTGCTGGCGTTGTGGCGTTGACTTAGTGGATGGGCACCTGAAATGAATCTGGCCTTTTCTTCCTGTGAAAGCGAAAGTGTGTTAGCCAGTTGTTTCCAAAGCATGCAGAGTAATACGCCGTTTGGATTGTACACAGCTAATCCTCTTTATACTTTGCTGACTGTAACCTGCTTAGTCTTACATGAAATGTATTCTCCGACTTTCTGTGAGCCTGATCCAAAGTCTGTTGAAGTCAGTGGAAAGAGTCCAGATTTTTTCCAGTAGTTTTGGAGCAGACTCTATATGAACAGCTGGTCTACTACTGAGTCTTCTAGTTGAAAGACGAAGAAAATAAGCAGTACCAAACCGCACTGGACTCAGCGCTGTATTAAAGATATAAATGAAAGTAATGTGAAACTCGTAAAACCAGACTGGACACAACACTCAAACATGCTGCAGAGAGCAGTCTAGTGCTAACAGGGGAATAAATCAGATACTTAATAATTTGTTTTCCATAGCTTTTACTTTTCCACATATTCTGTAACATAACAGAACTTTTTTTTTTTTTTAATTTTTTTTTTTCCCCTAGGCACATAGTTGCCAGACAGCAGCACTGGAATGAGAACATATGTAGTATTTGCTTTTATCTTACTTTACATAAAAAGAAGTATGAATACCTTGTGTTATTCCAAGTATAAAATTACAGGTGTCAAATCATTTGGTGTTTTAAGTACTGTGCCAGAAAAGTAATCCAGTAAAAATAGCTATGTCCTGTCAAAACTGAGCAGTTAGTATTGTTATTACAGTTCCTTACTTGCACGGCTCCAGCAGTGTAAGATTGTACAAGACAAGTGTAAGACCAGCAATAAACTTGCCTGGAATTGCCCGGAACATAGAAAGTCAGGGGGATGGAAACCAGATGAAACTAAAGGTCCAGTGTAAGAATCTGCCTGGTCTGCTTTACAGTGGTTTCAACTATAAATGCCATTGAGTAAAAAGTATTCAGCATCTTAGGGAGTTATTCTTAACACAGAAACCACAAAGACTTAGAGCAAAGGGTGATTTGTGCTTGGTTCTGTGTAAGTACATGGTCAACCCCCCCATGTCCTAAGAAGTGTGCCATCTGAAGATGAGAAAAATACTTATCTGGAAAGAGGAAAGATTTTTTTTTTTGCATTTCCGTGTTATGACTGGGGGTGCAAAACAGAGATTAAGATGGTTTGACTGGGTCAGACTGTGGCTGTGCTGGCTGTGGCAGGGAAGCCCTTGGGACTCTTGGATACTGAAAAAAGTGAGGCCATCCTTACAGAGCTGAGTAAGTCTTCAGGAAGAAGCTTGATGTGGACTTGAACCAAGGCAGGAGGTACCAAAACAGGACACAGCACTGCCCAACACAGTTTTTTGCTATGTGAATTTCTCCTCAATAGAGCATGAAGAGCCACACGCTACATGCAGCTGCCGGAAATCAAGTTAATACTTTTATTGTCTGCTCCACAAAGGCTGGGTCTGAAGAAAATCTACTTAGTAGATTATTTCCCTGAAGGGGGCAGAAGAATCACTGCATTTAACACTTTTTCCTGGCCCCTGGAGCTGCAATGAAGCCTGGACAGAGACAGACTGGTTTGCTAAAATGGGGACACACTGCTTCTGTCAGTATAGATGTTAAGAAGCTTATTAAAGGACACAGCAGCTGCCAAGTGAATCTTTAATCCCTGCCAAATCCCCTAAGTTTGTGATCAGTTTAAAGCAGTTCATGTAAAAAATAAACTTTTACTCATCATTCCATGTGTTTGCAGATCAGATGTGGTTACTTTCATGGTGTTAATCGGAATTCATTTTACTTGTAATTTTCAGAGTGAATTTTGACTGTCCTAAAAAACACTCCCCCAAACCCTGCTCTCTTTCCCTGTTTCTTAAAAAATACAGGAATCATATTCATTGTCCACACTGGTATTTTAAGTGGCACACAGAGTGTGGCAGGTGACATAGCACATAGCTGAACAGCAGGCCAAATCCTGATGCTGTGGGCTGCCTTAGTGTTAAAATATCAGAAACTAAAGGGGCACTAAAGCTTGCATGTCCTGACTGATACATGAGTAAGGGTTAACTGTCACATGTTGATTTATTGAAAAACTTTTAATGTACTTGCTCATTTTCTCTTTACAAACCACATGATCATGCTGAGTGTAAGTATCTCATGCAGAAATGAGTAAGGCTTTTTGAGGTTCCTTTTTCATACAAGTCTCATTGCTATTACTTTGTGGAAAGACTGTACCAAAAAAAAAAAAATCAGGGCATGCTATATAGGATAAATTGTGGGTTTTGGTGTGTGTGTGTGTTTTTTTTTCTTTTCAATTTCTGAAGAAAAGAACGCTACAGTAAGTCCATCAGTCAGTGGATCAAAGGGTGGAAGTAGTGTACCTCGGTATGCTGTAATGTGAGCTATTTGTTCAATAGTTAGCCCTAGTTTACCAACATGACTATTCATTCTAAAATAAGCACTCTGGCAGTGTTTGCTCCCAGGCAAATACTTGCTCTGCTGCAGTTCTTTCTCAGCTCAGCTGCCTCTGATCCCCTTTGCAAGTGCCGAAGTTGTTAGCCTTTGTAGTCATGCGAGTTAATTACCACTCATTTGGGTCCCTTTTCTGCATGGCCAAAACCTTTCATGTCCTTTACATGGGGCTGAGAGGAAAGCCTAGCCCTCGTTCAGGCACTGCTCCTCATGCGATGTATGATTAATGGTTGCCAAGAAGCGCTCGGCCGCCTGGGCACCGGCAGGTCGCGGCTGTGCGGCTGCCCGGGGAGTTAGGTAGCGGGGCGGGCCAAGCACAGAGCATCTGCTGGTGGAAATTGGTGCCAGGGCCCACCAGGAGATGGCCCTGTGTAGCTTGGGCCACCTGGGAGGTGGTGGCCAGAAGTAGCATCTGGGCACAGATGGGACGGGCCTGCTGGGCATAGGGGCTGCAGCCACTGGGCCCTGTATGGGGCAGTGAGGGAGAAGATGGCCGCTGGCTGGAGCCACTGGGGTAGCTGCTCATCGCGGCTTGGCTCTTCAGTCTTGGGCTGGGCTCTCTTAGCTTTGGGAGTGGCTGCGGTAGCCGTAAAGGAGCGCAGACTGTTGTTTGGCTTTCATATCAGTCCAAGGAAACTAGATTTATCTGCCAGGCCAAAAGAGTTGTCCTCACCAGAGCGGATTTTCACCCACAGTGCTCTTTAGAGGTTGTGGCCTGCAATAGCAGGAAGATCGACAGGGACCACATACTTTTACCATCTCTAATCTCTGGGGCTTTTTACTTGAAATATGCTTTTCCTTTTCAGCTAAATAAACCATAGCAAAAAGCCTTTCACTGTGTGCTGAAATATTCTCAAGTGCTCTTGTTTCCAAGGGTGACTTTACTGGGGGCAGCAATGCAGTCTCAGAACAGAGCTCTTACGTGTCCCAATTACAGATTTACTTCCCGTGCCGCTGACAGCTTGATTTGTGAAAGAAAAAGGGACAAAATAGGAAAACAAAACTCAACCCACAGCCTGTGCAAGAGAGAAAAACATAGCCTTGCTGTGCTGTAGAGGAAGTGTCAAATAGAAATAACATTTCAAAGGGGGAAAGCTTTTAGTCTTCATGTACATGATAAAAATCCTTTTACAAGAGTAAGTCGCATAACTGTAACTATTTTTAAGCTTTAGAAATTTCCTGTTTAATACCTGTGGGATAAGTCTGTGCAGCTAGCTGGAGACCAATTTTAACCTTGGACCATTGAAATCTGTTGACCTGTGGTTTGGTACAGTGCTAGCCACTGTTCGTTCGTTCTTTCTTTCTTTCTTTCTTTCTTTCTTTCTTTCTTTTTCTTTCTTTCTTTCTTTCTTTCTTTCTTTCTTTCTTTCTTTCTTTCTTTCTTTCTTCTTCTTTCTTTCTTCTTCTTTCTTTCTTTCTTCTTTCCTTCTTTCTTTCTTTCTTTCTTTCTTTCCTTTCTTTCTTCTTTCTTTCTTTCTTTCCTTCTTCTTCTTCCTCCCTCTCTTCCTCCTCCTCCTTCCTTCCTTCCTTCCTTCCTTCCTTCCTTCCTTCCTTCCTTCCTTCCTTCCTTCCTTCCTTCCTTCCTTCCTTCCTTCCTTCCTTCGGCAAACCTCTACCTACCCCCAAAAATTTTAAATGTCACATGACTGACTGTGCTGGACCTGTTTGACTTTTCTGCCTAGTTTTGCAAAGTAGCCAGATACTGTGAGGAAAATGTTGCCTAATTAAGCAGATGTCAGAAACCCACCATGATGCTTTTATACAAGTCTGATAGGTACTAAGAGGACAGTAAATGCATGTGTAATTCCAGAGCCATTTCATCTGGTTTGAGACTAAGCAGCAGTTGTGGAAGGAGAAGGCTGAACTAGGGTGTTCTGCTGTTGAACAAACAATTTTATTTCTAAAACAACATCTCATGGCAATGCACTGCCGGGCTCATGATTCATAAAGCCAGTCACGCACTGAAGGGAGCTGTGTCTTGATTTGTGGCTTGTAAAAACAGGAGTTTGCTAATAAATGTGTTCTTCAGAATGACAGCCCAGCACATTCTTGAAAGTGGACTTCTTGGCTTTGTCTTGAACAGTAGCCACCTATGATTACTGCACAGTGCTTTTATGATAGATGAGACAGCTTCCTCCTGGCCACTTAGTTATGTCACCATTATATGGCAAAAAAGAATCAGGGTGACCCAGCCTAAAAGGGGTAAAGCAAACAGCAGGGCCCTGCCATTGACAAAGCAAACTTGCTTTAAGCGCATTCTCTAGATAGTCTGAGTCATCGGTCTTCAAATATGTTTATTCTCTTCTTCCTTCTTCCCTCTTTCCCCAAGCTGTACTACAAAGCAGTGCTTTGACTGGAAGCTGGGGGGGGTGTACTACAGAGAGGGAGGTCCCAGCTGTGTGTTCCTCTCCCTGCCATCTCCTCCTTCCTTAATGCTAGGAATTTGTTTTAAATCCAGTCTTGAGAGGAAAAAAATACTCCCTGGTTCTGAAATGGAATGAATTGAAGACACTTTTAAAATGACAAGTGTTTTTCTGACAAGAGGGTCTGAGGCCTGTAAGGACAGATCCTTGTGCCGCAATGTATTGGGTTTATGTGGCAAATAGTGAGCATCCACGGTACTCAAACTGAATATGGCCACCCAAATGGCTGTGTCTAAAGCTAAGTAGTACAGGTGAGCAGGTGTATTTTGGTAAGTACGAAGAAAGACACAGAGAAACTGATTTTCCAGACATACTAATCCTGGAAGCATTGCTTGGTTATTCACAGTGCACAACTTTTACTAATGTCAGCCAAATACACAGCTCTGGGGATGAACTTCTAGTGTCTGCTGAGGCCAGGAATCTGCCTTTGCCAATTTAATTCCTTATTAGAACATGTCAGAAATATTTTTTTAGCATGGCTGTATATGCATGTCTGTTTGTATATGTATGTGCGTGTGTTCCATTGTTAACAGTGAGCATTAACTGTATCCATCAGGGATGAAATAAATGGACTGTAAAATTTCCTTGCCATCTGCACAAACATCAGCCTGGTGTCAAAAAGAGTACTTATGTTTATGAAAGCTAGACTGAGTGATGATGGTGAAAATTCTGCTACCTGGTACGCTCTCTTTCAAATGCAGAATTCCAGTTTTCTCCTGTATAAGAACTTCATTAGAAAAGCACACAGACTGAGCAAAACAAAGTTACTGCTTGACAAATTGCCTTGATGTTTTGTTCAAATTCAGAAGAGGATTTCTCATCCTTCCACGGAAGTGAGCTACTTGTGAGCATGGTCAGAGGCTGCAGTGAGCCCAGCCTGAGCAGCAGCAGCTCTGTAGCTAGTTTGGTTGTCGACAAGAACCACAGGGCAACAGCAGCATCAGGGGCAGCATTGGGGTGGCAAATCTGTAGATGAAAGAATACAAATTTGATTACAGTATTTGTTATGCTGTTAGTCAAAGCTCGTCCAGTTGCATTTCTGTTGAGCAACATCCAGAGCCTGCTGGAGGCAGCGGGAGTTTTGCCATCAGCTTCCCTGGGGGGTAGGATTTTGCTCACTGTTTAAATTAGCTGTATCTTCACAGGAGCATATGGGAGCAAACGCAAAGGTTTTGAATTGAAGGAGCCAGTAAGTGGCCTTATGCATTTACTTTGTTACCCAGGTAAAAGCTGAGACAGCAAGACCCATCTGCTAGACCTTCAACACATCTCTGTAAAACCCATGCTGGAGTGAGAGCATTCTTTTCGATTTTATTTATGGCTCTGGCTGTCTGAATGAGTGCATCTGGAGCTCAGATGCCTTATGCCCTTATTGTAAATTAGTTAACTTGAAAAACTGCACACGCTGTCAGAACTTTGCTGTGGAAATGCCAGGCTCTGTAGTCGAGGTGCTTTTGTGTGTACGTATGTTTTTTACGTGAAAAGGCTGTTGAACTTCATGCATAAACACTGCTCTCTGTCTCTTTTCCCTCCCTCTTTTGTTGCAGACTGTGGACTAGCATTGAATATTCAGGGAAAGCTCCCCAGAGAGATTAGGGACATGGACAGATTTTAAACAGGGCCTTAATGCATGGACACGAAAGGACAAACGTTCTAGAGGGAATACTAATGCAAATGCCCTGGTTTGGGGTCAAAATACATTAAACAGCTGCTTGCATGCTAAAGATGCTTTTAAAATCAATACAGACAGGAAATTATAAAATGTGTATGTACAGATTTTGCTACTTCCTCAGTGTTGTAGCCTAAGAGAGTGAAAGGGTTTCACTTGACCCCCTTTGTTATAAAGCATACAACACTGTCAAGTATTGGTGCTAAAGAGCAGGGCACCTATTTATTGAACCCTTTCACAGGGCTCAGAATTCCAGACCCTGCCGAAGCCTATTTCAGGGAGGAGTTGTCAGTGTCCTTCCTGGAGAGCTGTGGGAGGTAAGGCCTAGCAGCTGTAGGCATTAGAGTTTGATGAGAGTAAACTGCTGTTATTATCAATTGCTCAGATGATGCAGTGCTGGAAAATAACTTATTGCTATTTTTAAAAATCTACATTTAAAAAAATCCATTTAAGTTATTGCTTAAAAAAACAAACAAACAAAAAAAAACAGTAACTACATATTTCTGGGCTAGCTACTCAGCAACTAAGATGAAATGGAGAAATGAAGTCTGACTATAAAAACTGGCAGCCTAGATGGGTCACCGTCTGAGAGTGAGTTACATAACCCTAACACGGCAATATCACAGCCACGGTGCGGCCTTAATACCACTGCACAGTTGGTATCTATCATTGAACCACGTGCGTATTAAAGGAAGGCTTGACAGATTTAAAATAAATGTAATGAAAAAATAATTCAAGTAGCTCACATTCCCTCCAGCTGCTGAAATAAATATGTTACTCCACCACTGCTGTACCCTTTCCTTATGGGACCTTACCCTGACTCCACATCGCTGCTGTGCTGTGGTCTCTGACATGAAAATAATTATCATTTGCAGTATAGAAGAGGAGCAGCTTCCTTATAATACTTACGTCATTTAGGTTCCCGGTGTAAACCACGCGGCATTACCTGGGCATTTTGCCAGGCATATAGCCTGTACCACCAGTGTCCCATGTTACAATAATCCCTAAAAAAGCTGCCCCTAAGTTGAGGCACGTTGTTATAGGTGCTGCATGTTTGTGACTGCTGCAAGCATTTGGCAGCTTCAAACTCCATAGAATCCACATTTTTTTTTACACTCCAGCTTAGTTTGGGGCAAAAGGACAAGTCTTCAGGAGCCCTGAAGTGCTGCTGGCCATAGCCTGTAACTTTTCATTGCTACCTTCCTTCTGCATCATCCCCATGTCTCTTCCTTTTGGCTCCTTTTTGCTTTCTACCAATTCAGACATTTCTTTCCAACACCAGCTCTTCTTGGTCTGCTGCTCCTAATTGTGGTCTTTAAAGCATTCCTTGAAGACGTCTCCTCTGCACCCTGAAAGTTGTTGCCGGCGGGTTTTGAGGACGTGCTCAGTGAATGCATCGCATCCTGTTTGTCACTTAGATGACAGTGCTCAGGTCCCAGTCTGCAGCTGTAAGACACAGGCAGAGCTGCAGCTGCTGTTCACTGGAGATGTAATTTTGGATTCCTTCAGAAATGAGATGGCCTCCCTAACCTTAGTCTTGCTCTCAGTAATGCCTGTGGTATAACCACACTCAACAGTTTGTGGTTTGGATTTCCAAGAGAGCAATTCCCGTTGAGAACACGACTGCCATCGACACAAATGGCAAGGCTGCAAGATGTCTGCATTCAAACATGGCCATTAAGCCTAGTCAGACAGCAAGACCAGTCAGACCCCTGTCTGCAGGCCAGTACTTACTGAAATTAATATTTCTGAACCCTTGAGATGGTTCCACTGGTGTCAGCGAGGGCCCTTGCGTGCTCCCACTCATCCTCCCTACCATAAAACCCACAGATGTCTCTTCAGCTGAGTATCACAGCCACTTCTCTCCTTTTTCCATGCTTGGTTGTTCTACATTTGGATAAGAGGAAATGCCAAGGGTGGGGAGCATTTTGCCTTGCTGCTTGTTATGTACTTTTCAATAGAAAAAGGCCGGATGGCCGGGCACTTTCGTAAATCCTGCCTGCAGCCAGTGCTTGCTGCGGCTGCCTTGGTCACAGCTCTCCCCCTGAGTCCCAGATCTTTGTTACTTACACAGGGATGTAAAAGGGGTGCAAGGGGAGTGAAATGAAGGCACCTTCTGACATTATTGCCTCCATCCGGAGGGGAGGAATACCGCCCACACATGGTCTCCAGCAGGTGGCAGCGGCAGCCCTCACACCGCGGGCAAGGATGTGGCTCAGCTTTCCCCTTTAGCCTAGGGGGACAAAACCCTGCCCTCCTTGTGTCTGCCCAGACCTCTGACCCCACGGGTAGCTGCTCAGGGGATGGTGACAGCCACAGATGTGACAGGATCTCGTGGCACGAACTGGGGGGACCAAATGCTTTCAGCAGTGGTGTCTCTGCAACCTCATTGCAAAATTAGTCTTGCCATTAATGTGGAGAAAAACCAGTCTGAATATACCATTATTTTTTTTTTTTTTTAAACAAAGGATGTCTTCAAGCAGGTACTTGTGCTCTGTAGGTACTGCAGATAAGTTAGTAGAGAGTGCTTTGTGGTGTATTTGTTGGTGCTACCAGTTGAGTTATCTCAGTATGAGTTATCTCACACTGAGAAAGGAAGAAGCCACCCGCCAAGCATTTCTGAGGTAATAATTGCTTCTAAATAGTAAAAGAAGCCATCTTCTCCATTTGGAGGGAATTTCTGTGGCTTTGAAGGGCAGATGTAGAGCGGAGTTTTGGCCCTGTAATCAGGTACTTTCAGCAAAGTACTACGTTCAGCTCTGGGGCCCCAGCACAAGAAGGACCTGGACCTATTGGATAGAGTCCAGAGGAGGACCACAAAGATGATCAAGGGGTTGGAGCACCTCTTTTACAAAGACAGGCTGAGGGACTTGTGGTTGTTCAGCCTGGAGAAGAGAAAGCTCTGGGGAGAATTTACAGCAACCTTCCAATACCTAAAGGGGGCCTACAGGAAGGCTGGGGATGGACTCTGCCAGGGAGTGTAGTGATAAAACAGGAACTAATGACTTTAAACTAAAAGGGGATATTTAGATTAGCTATTGGGAAGAAACTCTTTACTTGGAGGGTGGTGAGGCACTGGCACAGGTTGATCAGAGAAGCTGTGGATGCCCCATCCCTGGAGGTGTTCAAGGCCAGGCTGGATGGGGCCTTGGGCAACCTGGTCTGGTGGGAGGTGTCCCTGACCAAGGCAGGAAGGGTGGAATTAAATGATCTTTAAGGCCCTTCCAACCCAAACCATTTTAAGATTCTATGGTTCTGGGAAAGTGCCTGCTGGGCTGGCTGCAAGACCCCTTGGTGCTGAAGAGCGCTCAGCTCCATGCCCCTGGGCAGTGAAAATACTTTACTGCAAAGGGAAGTGGATAAAAATTTCAAGTACATTTGAGAAGCCAGACAAGTTAAACTTTTCTGCAAGAGACATTCTGGCTTTTACATTTCCTTTCTTGAGATGGAAGATAGCTTTCTTAATTTAGGCAATGATTTTCCAACCTCAGAAACCACAGACCCGTGCATTTTTTTTGTATACCCTGCCTTCCATGTTGTCACATCTTTCCCCATTTTCCTTTCCTAGCGTGATTGCTGTTGTTTACAAAAAAAACCCTCTTTCTTCCTCTTTTCTTCACGCTGTCTCACCTCAGCAGGAGCCAAGTGTGGGCCCCTGTGCCTACCACGCAGAGCCAGCTGCTGCCATGGGAAGGGGAAGGCAGGCGACCAGGCCAGCTGCCGCCTGGCAGAGGGAGCTGGCTGCTGTGCCGCTGCTGCTCCTCAGCCTCCAGCCGCTGCCCTCTGTTCCCTCGGTGGCAGCCGTTCAATCCTGAGCACTGGCAAACAGGAGGAGATCTACTTGAGGGAGAGCAGCAGGCTGCCTGCTGGTCAAGTTGATAATTTTTGATCAAAAAAAAAAAAAAAAGAGGAAGGAAGGAAGGAAGACAAAGAAAGAAAGAACCAAAAATAACCCATGAAGTTCTAAGGTCTCTTGTGCGTTGTTTCTTGGGTGCTATTAATTTTCACACAGTGGCATGAAACTGAAAAATGGACTGGAATGAACTCCTGGTATCAGGGCACATTATGTTTACTGTGTGCCTTCAATTCAACAATGTGCTGAAAGGACCCTTGCACTTTCTAGATATACACCATGTGGCTAAAAGTAACTGGTTTTCATATGCAAATAATTAAGTCCATTTACATTTTTTAAAAGGTTTACCACTAAGGAAGAAATGCATGTGTTGCAAGTAAGGAGTAGAGGAGAAATCATTCAGAATTGTGCAGTTGACTTTATACTGTGGCACTCTGCCCTTTCCCACGTGCTTGTCTCCTGTTGATAATGCCTGGTGTTATGCATGTGCAGGAAGGCAGAACGTGCAACTGGACAAGAGAGCTGTATATGTAGAGGAGAATTTTGACCTTGCTTCTACCTCAGATGTTGCTGTTCCTTCTTATTTCTGCCCATGTATCCTTAGTTTCTTATATAGTCCCTTTTCTAGACATTATCAGAGACTGGTCTGGGGTCTGGGCCTCTCTCTCTTTTTTTTTTTTTTTTTTTTTGGTCCTGTTTTTGGTTTATACAACTTCTGATAGATTCTTTATCACCTGCTCCCTGCAAGGCAAACTGCAAGGCTGCTTCCCTTCTGTAGCAGCTGTGCTGGAGAACTGATGATGAGGAACAAAATGGGAGCTACTGAGCAATCATGGGGAGACTGGCTATTAAAAAAAAAAAAAAAAAAGAGCTAATTAGAGCATAGAGGAAGAGGCAACACTGTGTGCAAAAACACCAGAAGGTAGGCCCTCCAAATCCCATACGCTCCCTGTAAATAGCTATAATTAACCCAATAGTATTCACTTTATCAATTAAAATTTAATTAATATTTTCTGTCCTTGACAATCATATTAAAGGCAGTCAGGAAAACATAGTGGCAGCTGGGCTTCTGCAGAGAGCAGTTGCAGTCAAGGAGAGCTACAACAACAGAGGCATGGGAGACACCCCTCCATCTATCGGTTGTACCTGTGTTAGAACTAAAACTGGTCACCAAATTGCTGACAAAGGAGAGAAGGATGGCAAACTGTGAGCCCCGGTCTTCTTCTGCAGTGACAGGCAGCGTTACACTTCCAGGCATCACCCTACAAATGCAGCACCCACCTGGGTGAGAGAGAGGAGTAGTGAGAAAATGAACGTTGTTGTTACTTATTTGGCCTTACCACCCACTGAGGGCTTCTGTACAGCACTTTGTTCTACCTGTTTTTTGATGTTCTGGTTGGTGCTTTGCCTTGGTGGAGCAAGCTTAGCAGAGATATCCCTTCTGAACTCCACGGACCCTATCAAAGCAGTAAGGTTATTGCTAAAAATGGTGTGTCTGTACTAGCAGCTTGGCACGCTCCTGTTTTGCTCCAGGGACAGGTTTCCTGGCCACTCATACTGCCTGTGGCAATTAGTGTTTGAGCTCTCTTCTGGAACAAATCAGTTGGTATCCCAAGGGGAAACCTGAATGTAGTCAGCTGTGTAGATCACTCCAGGGTTTGCTCCAGACAGACAGGATAAATGTGGAAGACACCAAATGTATTTCCTTCCAACCAGAACAGTGTTTCAACATAATTCCATTTTAGGCTGTAGCATTATTTGTCCTCTCCCCCCATCCTTTTCCTAAGACACACAACAATTTTTTTTCTGGCATGGTAATGTTTTTAACCCAGCGCTGCTCTGCTGGCCTGCTGTATAAAGCTGTTATTATTCTGCATGCCTTGAACTGAAAAAAATACCACCAAAGCCATGCACAGAAAATAATGAGTGCTAGCCACAGGGTCGTAAGAGAGGACCTGAGCTGAGCACAACACAGCATGGCAGCAGCACATCTGCTCAGCTCTTAACAGCATGGTCATGGGCCGCTCTGCAAAACTGGCCTGTGGGTGAGCGTCTGCAGGGCAGAATGACTGTGGGGTGAAGCAGGTCTGTTATTCCTCTTTTACCAGGAGGGTACAGACTAAATCAGCAAGATTCGCGGAGTGTGTTGAAACTACATCTCCCAGATCATGGGGAGAAAGCTTTCAGTACAAAACTGTTAGACAAACACAAGTAGGGAGAAGAGATGGGATGCAAACACCGTCACAACAACCCTCTTCTTGTCTTCTCTCCACTCCTCTGGATGAAACATGGTAGGTTAGGCATGTTTTTGATACACCTAGTGGATCAGGCCCTTCAGGTAGCCAAGTGACATGCTGTTTCTCAATCCTAGGGAGGCGGGCACCAAGCTTAGTGCTATGAGGTGAGAAGTGCTTCTGAGCACACCCAGAAGCAGAACTGGAGGATCCTGGTGGACGTCAGCGTTAGAAAAGCTGAGTGTCACAACCTGAAGTCTCTTCGGCCTCTAGGCTTCAGTGTGTAACTACAACCATCACAGAGCTTGTGGGCCTTGTGGGCCTTGTCCTTGTGGGCTCCCCTATGGTCACACAAGAACAAGCCTCAGGCCTACCACACCGTGAGCTACATCTTCCACCAGCTGTGTGCTCCCAGGCATGTCCTGAAGGGTGATGGGGATCAGAACGAGTGAGTTCTCTACCCTGGTGGGACAAGAAGTGCCTCTGGTGCCATACAAAGGTGCTTACACAGGGCTGGCAGACTAAGGAGATGAACACGGACAACAGCCATTGCTGCTGCAATGGTTCTGTCCACTTCAGGCTGGGGCATCCGATATACGGCAGAGTTGAGAAACAGCCCCACAGAATCTCATGTTGCCATATGTTATGAAACAAACCTGATCCGTTGTTGTACTGTTGGTAATTCCAGATAGATTTATGTAGAATTGAAGGAGTTGGAGATAGGTGCTGAGAATCACTGCAGTCTTCATCCCAAAATGAACCTCAAAATGAGCACAGTAACTGCCCAGCAATGATTGCTTGAGTTTTCACGCATTGTTTAGCTTGGTCTTTCTCTCTCTTAAGTCTAGTTAAAGATTTTACTGGGTTTTTAGAAATGTACTTCCCCCAACCTCTCTGAAATTCACTAGCTTTTCTGACTTTTATAAAAAGAAAAGCAGAAACGAAACCCTAGGCAACTCTCTGCTAGGCTTTGAATTCAACATTCAGAACAACAAATACATCCAAACAATCTTTGCTTTACTGTTAGTCATTTGTACAAACCTGCAATTAAAAGGCTCAACATTTGTTCTCATCTCTTTCTGAAATTACATTTTCCACTTCCTAGGCCCTGGCCTCAGGCAGTGAATTTTTGAAGCAATCATGCCTTGATAATTAATGTTTAAAGATGAATGTTGCAACTTTTAACACAGTGTGTAGCTGAGTAAACATCCTGCAATCCCTTGTAACAAAAAAAAAAAAAAAAAAAAAAAAAAAAAAAAAAAAAGAGTATGAAAAAATACATGGCTCTTACTGGAAGCTACAGGTTTTGCGGACATTATCCTTAGAGCTCCCAGCTGTAGTATGTTTGCTTACTGCTCCCTGTTTGCTTGGAGATGTGGGATACTGCCATGCTTGAAAAAAGCAGAAGAAAATAAATACCACATCCAATCTGTCAGTTCTTTGTGCCACTGACTCATCTCCCCAGAAGGCTTGCTGGGAAAGATTAGCTCATACCAAGAGGGAGGAGACAAATCTTTGACAAATGATCAGTAGTAGTAACACAATCAATGCTATTTTGGATTTTACAAAAGGGCAAGAGGATGAGGGATGGAGTGGGAGGAGAGAAAGGGGTAAAAAGAAGGTCAGGATGTGTGTGGGAGAAAGTATGGTCAGAAATTCCCTTTCTCTTTCACATACCTTTGTGTATCCTAAATCCACCTCTTCTTTGTAGAAGCTACAGCTTCCAGACTGTTACTAAACCAAGGGGTTTTACCTCTGATAGCAATCCCTCCTTCGTGGGGCTTCTGTGTGTTCCTCAAGCGCTCCTCATAGGCATTTACCTGAAGTGGTCTTTGTGGCATTTTTGGTGCTTGAAAAATTAATTGTGTCATCCTTTTCCATCATCCATCTGTTGCAACAGAAAAGGAAAGTGGGAAAATCTTCAACTTTGGCATTTCAGGAAGGGGAATGGATGGCCTGGGTTGCCATTGCCTACTTACTTCAGGCCTTGGAGTTGGGCATTGCAATCCTGATTCAGATTTTCTGGTAGACACACCTCATGCCTAACATTTCCCAATCGGTTGGCACGAGGCAGCTGCCTGTTCATCTAAGGCTCCCATCTAAGTACTCGCGCAATCCCGAGAGTGGTTTCTGTAAAAAGGGACAAGGGGGGTCAGAGTGTGACCATGGAGGGGTCTAGACATGCCAGGGACCCTATATTGTATCTGCTAGTTCTAGTTCTGGTATGGCCCCATCTTATCTGATCTCTCCATCTGTTCTCCTGGTGCTGTTCTACATACACAGAAGCCTTTCTAACGTACACAGAGGCCAATGACAAAATTCTCTAGAATTTCTCCAGACGGGTCAATTGGAACAAGAACAGAATACTTCGAGCTGGATTTCCATTTTCTTTATTATTATTATTATTATTATTATTATTATTATTATTATTATTATTATTATTATTATTATTATTATTATTTTCCTTTCCTTCTCTATCTCCCAGACAAGAGAAGGACATTCACAATCTGACACAACTCAAGGTCTGCAGACCAAGTTCGGAACAGGTGCTCTGGGCTTTATTGTTCTTTGGTGTTTTTTCTGCTCAAAACAAATGTCTGATTCTACAATTAAGCATGAAAATGGAACCTCCCAAATAATCTTGCCTTTCTTGCTGTGAAGTTCAGGCTCTAAGAAAGATTAGTAAGAGAAACATTCAGCACCAGTCATATTTCTTTGGGTAACAGACAAGTTTCTGCCTGTACTCCCTCCTAGTATTCATTATGAACAGGCATTAGTGACTTCCTAAGCAGCAAGCCCAGCTGAATAATAAATGAAGTATTGCCTTCTGCTTTAATAATTTCCTGTTCTTTTAGCATTGTTTATATACCATCAACAGCATGCTGATACATTCACTGTGTACCCACTGCTTGGCTATTTTATTATCTATGTCTTTCATTATCTGCCCTGATTACTGATCCTAAAAGGAATGAACTAATTTTTAGATGGTTTTACTGTTGAAGCATAGTGGTTTTTAATCTTTTTTTTTTTCATTTATGAGCCCCCTTAGGAGTTTTCCAGTAAAGGTATTGACCTGTTTGTACCAAATTTAAGCCTCCACATAATAGCTTGCTTTTTTTCTGTTGTTTTTCAACAACATCCTGTAACAATCAGAAGCCCAGGGAGCACTCCTGCAGGGTACAGGGTGCTTCAGATACCCTTCATGTTAAACATGACACAGATTGTTCAGCATTTTGCTGAACTGAATCTTTATTGAATCCCGTGGCGTGAAAAATGCTTTGGGACTAAAAGCAGTGTGTTTTTCAAGAAATGCTTAATCCTAAACGGATCATGCAAGTAGAGTGTGATAGAGACTCCGCTGCAGTTAATGAAAAGATTTTGTTTGACCTCAGTGGGCTCTCAGACAGGCCAGGAACATACGCTTGCCATTGCTAACAGCATTCATTTAGTAGAGTTTCCCTTCCTAGATGGGGAATTAGTTTTCTTTCTCTGTTGTTTGTACAGAAAGACTGTAACAGCTCAAGGAGATCATGCAGGAGCCACAGTGTTTAGAAATGTAGAGCTGCTTTTGAAGAGAAGATACCTCCCAACTCCATGTCTAGCCATTCAGCTGTAGTCCAAACAAGCATCCCCACCAGGCTCTTCAGCTGGCTCCTTTTAACAGTCCGCATCAGTCTGCTGTGCACACTGCCTCGCAGGAGTGAGGGCCTGTAGAAGAACCCACATGAACAAGCAGAAAGCAGCCACCTCACATTCCAACTCACTTGTGTGCATCGTTCACACTAGTGAGTGTGTACATTAGGCCCTTCCAAGCTCATACATCTAAGGTTGGAAGTGTCTATTTTTTATTTATCTTTTCTTGTAGGCTGCATTCACAGCTTATTCCAAATCCTGTCCCCAGCCTTAACATCCTTCATTCCTACATTGCCTGGTTTGAAGCCAGTGGACTCGAACTGGGCAGGCTCCCAGCCACTTCGGTTGACTCTGGTACATATTGTCTAGAGGGCATTTGGAAAGGCATATGACTGTTGACTTCCAAGGCTGTTTCATAAGGACAAGGACTTGTAAAGAAGCAAGACACGGAGCAATTTGGTCAGGGGCACAGTTGCCTAAGTATCAGTGATGAGGGTAAAATTTAGGGATCTGGTATTCTGAGCATAATGAATTTGCTGTCCTTGTTTTGTTTTGTCTTTTGCTCTTTTTCCTCCTTACGTCTTCACTTGTTAGAATTAAAATGGACAATGTAATTTATGCTCCAAATTCCTTTTCTTGTTCTGAAACCAGCAATAAATGCTGTAGGTTTTTCTAAAGAAGAACCTTTCTCTAAAGGTGCCATGCCCTACAGTTTTCTCCCTAGGAGCACAGGAGGGGGGAGGAAAAACCTCCGGCAGTGACCCTTTTGCTATGTAACCTTTCCTTAAAATGCCAGCAACTGAGCTTCCACAAAGAGGAACAACAAATATTGAAAGAGGAATGTGAAGGACATTATGAAAGACGAAAGCAAGAAAAAGGGATCTGCTCAGACATGTTTCTCGGGGAAGGTGATGTAATATGTACTGCAGAAAATACTTGTAGTTGACATAACTCACTCTCTTTCTAAGTAGCCGTGGCTGCCAGCGGACGAGGAGAAACAAAACCTACAGCTGGGAATACAGCTGGTCAGGTCTTTTTGTTCAAAAGAAATATAGCAGGCATAAAACTAGCTTTCAAAAGATGCCAATGAGGCTTAATTGAATAGTGTCCTATTAATTAAGGCTGAGCAACCAACGGATGAAAGTCTCATTTCTGTTGGGATGGTTTATGGTGATACTGTAACATTAAATCTGGCATACTGGGAGTACTTCAGAGGCTGGTGTTGGGATGCCATGGTATGCAATCCTACTAAAAGCCCACAAAGTTGAGCAAATATTCAACAATTTTTTTTGGTAGCTATCTTGAAAATGATCTGGCTTTGTATTAGCTGATTCTCATGTATTTTAGTCAGCTTTCTTAAGGAAATGGTACTTAAATGACTGTTCTTTGTGTGTACATGTGTACACATACATAGATATATAGCATTTGGGAACCTCCTTCCCTGTTATAACCAGATCTAACAGAGAGGCACGGGGTCTTCAAGCTACTGAAGGCATTAAGAATTTTATGGAAGAAGGTAGCTGGATAATGAAAAGAGTCTTGATCTTTTCCACAGAGGAAAGGCTACAGGGAACTGAGTTCTCGGTTGGCTTCGGAGAATCCAGGAAGCCCAAATCTGGAGGATCACTGGGTTTCTTATTCCACTTCTCACAGAACTTACTGGTTTAAATATCTTGGCTACAGCATGAAATGCTTATCTTTTAAAACTGCTAGCTCCTCTATTGTGTTCCTTCTGCTATGTGTACAGAGCAACGTGCTGCATGTACGGACTGAGAAATGACTTCATCTGTTTTCAGGTAGGCTAGTTCATAAAAAATGGATGAACAGGCAAGCCAGAGGTCATGGTATATGAACTATTGTAGATTTATCCTATATTGCCAACAGAGGAAGAGTTGTACAGGAGAAATGTCCATTATGAAATCTATGTTTGTCTGTAGGACTTAAGTACTTGGTCTATTACCTGCTTTTCACAAACATTGCTGTCACTGTTCAGACAAACAGTAGACATGGCTTAATGCAAAAGAATGTGTGGCAAAGCTGCAGAAGATCCCTAATGAGCTTGATATGACTCATGTCATCTCAACACCTCACTTGCTGCACTGTAAATTGATTACAAGGAAAACACAAGTAGTAGGACTGACAGTACTAGAACTTGGAGCAGGAAGGCAAATGACTGCTGGATCCTTAAGAATGGCCGGAGTATTCTTCCTCTCCCTCTATTAAATACCCAGTCCTTTGCATTGTCTCTGTTGTTGTAGGTGGAGTCTGGATAAGAG